TATCTATCTATCTATCTATCTATCTATCTATCTATCTATCTATCTATCTATCTATTTGTATGTCCGTTTGTCTATCATCTATTATATATCTATTATCTATCACTCAATCAATGAATCAATTACCTACCACCTATCTATCTATTATGTATCTATCTATTATCAATTAATCAATCTATCATCTTCTATCTATCTATCTATCTATCTATCTATCTATCTATCTATCTATCTATCTTCTACCATCTATCTATTTTGTGGTCCTGGGGATTGACTGCAGGGCCTTGTGTACCCTAGGTAAGCACTTTTCTCATTGACCTCTATGCTCAGCTTGGAATGCCTTGAGTAACCTGTTTTGGAGCAGGGCCATTGGACTCATTTTGACTCTTCTCCAACTGATGGTGGTGTATTTAGCACACACTAAGAGCCAATCATGTGCTTGCATATGGAAGCTTTCTCCTATATGGGTTTGAAAGGACTCTGCCCAACATGTTGAATAGCTGCTCAGATAGCCAACGGCAAGCTGTGATCTTTTTCGTTCTCTTACATAGAGTACCAATCTGTCTGGCATGTATAGTCAGTCAACTTTCAGTAAAAATTTGTTAAATAAATACCACTAAAGTCTTGAAGCTCCTTAGATGTTGAATTCTAGATTGACACTCAGCTTTGTCACTATCAGATGACTGTGACTTTCTGTCTTACAGATGATGTTAGGGAAATCTATAAACTTCAATATTCAATGGTTTATATCACTTAGCAGTTGTTGTGATTACAGTTGCATGTGTTTTTCTCCAGTACACTGTATTTACTTTTCTGAAGGGTGAGCCCCTTGTCTTAGTCACTCTCATGCCTACTGTGACCCGTAGTGGGAGCTGAAAGTCTACATTACTGACTGAATCCAGAAGTGGAAGTCCTTTCTGCTGACTGTCATCTTTGCCATGCCCTCTCAGAGGACACTTGCTCCATTCTTTAACTGGAATTAGAAGCCAGAGTGCTCCGTACACTTGGGCTCACTCTGCTGTTTAATCTAGTTGTTGCCATGAGACTGAAGTTTCTCCGCTTTAATTTTTGATTTTCCTGGAACAGCAAACCATTTCAAAGGCTTTCTCTGGGGCCTTATGATTTAGGGCTGGAACAGATAGACAAGAGTGAGTTAGCATTGCAGGGGGTGTTCCCAATGCAGGGTCCTGGTAGAGCCTGACAAATCCCATGGTGTGATACTAGCCACCTCCTCTTATGTGTCTGCACACACACACATAATGTTTTGTCATTAGTTTCAGTCAGTGAGGTAGTATGCTAATAACTTGCCATTAACATTGTCTTTGCGTGGGTAGGTGCCTCTTGCCAAGAAGCTTAGGGGACCATGCTTCTGGGATGTCATGATGGGCAGCTGCGTGCCTTCTGTAACTCAGAGGTGTAATTGGTTCAGAGGAAATACGTCTTTGAGGCTAATATTACCTGTCTTTCTCCAATTCCCTATATAAATATGCTCAGAGATATTATACCAATGGTTGGATGCTGTCAGGGTACCAAGCGCAATAACGCATTAAAGGATATTGGGCGAGCTTTTCTGAATCGCGAGAAGCTATTCTGATTAAGCCGTTTAATAGTAACTTTGAAGGGAGGGTACAAACGTGTATTTATCTCCAGCCAAGTAATTAAAATGCCAATCATTTCTATGATTTCAGATATCTCGGCCTCTTTAAAAAGCCCTCAAGAGCCTCAACACCATTATTCAGGTAGGAAGCGTGTGTGTCCAGATGGGTCAGCTGAGCCACATGTGCGTGCCTCTGCACCTGTAAACATGAGCATCCATCAGCTCCACATTATCAATACGGCGTCAATTCAGAAAACTGTTTACTCTTGTGTTTAGAATAATTAGATTTTCCAACCATGGCACTGACTGTGAAAAACAAACTGTTGGGATTTAAGAGAATTCACATTAATTGTGTGTGTGTGTGTGTGTGTGTGTGTGGTGTTGGCAAATTCCAAATTTTGAAGGAGAAGATACCCTTGGTATCTAAAATTTCCTTGCAAGCTCAGTGTTAGCCAAAAGCCAGATATTTTAGTGTTTTAAACAGTTTCCTTTGCAAGTGTTCCCTTTCTTTATTACCATTCTGAGGCTTGAACCCAGAGCCTTGCTGGAAAAGTGCTCTACCACTGAGCTGTACCCCAGCCTGGTCCTCATAGTTTGGACTTGGGTAAAGGGCAGACTTGCAAGTCCTTCTTGAAAGTCCTCCCTCAGAGAACATAACCACTGAATGGATGGCACCCTCACAGAGTAAAGCCAGTGAACATGCCTTGCAAAGACGCCATGAAACATAGGCATCAAGGGTCTCCACTCTGTTATTAAGCAATGCTTCACAGAGCTTCAGCTGTCTTTCTTTCAGAGTGGGAATGAGTGGCCTTGACCTTTCTGAGGGATGGTCTGCCAAAGGGCTCGCGGAGAATTAAGAGGCAAACATTTTGAGATGCAAAGTAATGTAGACCAGCTGGACTTTGCCATGAGGTGGTTCCTGCTCTCATGTGGGTCACTGCTCTCCGTGGTTGAGATAAGACGAGGACAAGGCTTTACAGGGTTTAGCACTCACTGTGAACAAGCCCTTCCTGGCACTGTAATTACCAGTCTCATTAGGTGAAGGCCATTTGTTTAAGGTCCTATAACAGACCATCTCCTCCTGAATTCTCCTCTGTGGTGAATAATGGTTCTGTGGATTCCAGCTTTCTCAGTCCAGGCTTCTGTGACTGGATCCTATAGCTCAGCAGCAATCTATTATTTTGACTCTGCCAGCTGTAGAGTCTCCAGTGAGGAATACTGTAACTCATACTACAGTCTCTGATCTGCTAGGCTATGGCTCTTGGCAGGAAAATGCAGATCACTTGCTTCTAATTAAAATTAGTGTTCCATTCTCTCTGGGGAAAAAAAGGAGGCGAACTCCACACAACCAACAGCAGATGTCCCCATAGACCACTGTGCGCTGGGTTTGCTTTGGAAAAGAAGCCGGAGAATGTGGACCATAGATTAAAATCCATTTATAAGAAAGACTTGCATATTATTTGAGCTAGTGTCTAATTTGTTATTTGGGAGAGCAAGGAGGTAGCTACTTCTTAGACCGTGCTTCTTAGCCGCACGTGAAAGTTTCCCAAGACTAAGATATTATTCCTGTTCGAGGCATATTTTATATTTGAAACTATTCTTTGTAATATTTTTGTTAAGGGAAAAATTAAAGGATGTTTGAAATTCTGAAATTTCTGTGTATTTTGATATGTGGGGCTTTCTGTAAGTTGAATCGTTGATGCAGACCTAAAGTAGTCAATCTGTTTTTGTTTGCAGCCATTGAAAGGAATAATTTAATGAGGCTGTCTCAGACCATACCGTTTACACCAATCCAGCTGTTCGGTGAGTAGCATCTCCCCCTTCTTGCGGGTAGGCAAGGCTGGACTGAATGCTGGCATGCAACAGAAAAAAAGCCAACCAACCAAACAAACAAAAAAACTTGCCTTATTTGACTCACAAATTTCACTTTGGCCATGTTGTAGATTAAAGAGATTCATTTTCCAAAGTAGAAATTCTTGTTAACTGCTGTGGCCAGCATTTAGGGTCAGAAGCCGACACTATGGGGCAGGGACCTACAGGGGTCAGCAGTTGGGAAGCAAGCGTGGTGCTGCACCTGGCATCCAGTGATTCTAGGCTGGGCATGTACAGGGAAGAAAAGAACAAACCAACCTTATATAATGAACCCAGAAGAAAGCGCTACATGTCAGTTTGCTGAAAGCTGACAAGCATGGGAAGAGAAATCCTTTGTTTATTGTTTTATATTTGTTTGTTTTGTTTCACGGACGTGGATTGCTCTTTCTTCACACTGAAAATGTAGCTTTTAAAAGTTGGAGCAGTAAAGAAAAACAAGTTTGTGTTCGTCAAAGGTACCCGAGGTTTTCTGCCCAGCAGGAAAAAGCACCAGCAGTTGCGAGTGGACAAAGATCCCTGCCCTGCCCTCCATCTTCATTCTCCTCACACTGCTCCAGGGGGGAGGGGCCAGGTTGGCTTCCGGTGGCTTATGCAGATGCCTCCCTCTTCCACTTGGCTCCATAGTTCATTTTGCAAATCAATAGCTCTTCTCTAAAGTCCTAAAAGAATTGAAACTCCAGAGAGCTATTCAGTGGTGTTTACTTGGGCATCAAGAATAAACATTTGAGAATATACCACACGTTCTCCAGGTACATTTATTGAGAAGGAATTAGATACAAAGGTGAGGGAATAGATGGCTTCCTCTGTGGCAACTTAATATGGTGTTCACAGAAAACAAACAAGCAAGCAAACAAACAACAACAAAAACCACAACGAAATTGGGGATATTTGAAGCAAAGTTATAAGAAAGCAAAGAGTTAACGACCTCCAGGACACCTCTGTGTAAAATTTGCTCCTATTATGCGGCAATAATACTATATTGGTGAGGTCCAAGTCCAGCGATGATACCTTCCTGGTCTATAAGCTGAAAGTGAGAACAGTATGTTATGTATAAAGTCCTGTTTTGGGTTTGTTCTTTTGTTTTTCAAGACAGGGTTTCTCTATGTAGCCTTGGCTGTCCTGGACTTGCTTTGTAGACTAGGCTGGCCTTGGACTCACAAACATCAGCCTGCCTTTGCCTCTTCGAGTGCTGGGATTACCGGTGTGCGCCTCCGTGCCTGGTCAGGCTGTGTATAAAGTCCTTTTAAGTGGGACTGAGTCTGTATCTGAGGTCCTGGTTTGCTATAACCCTGACAATATATGTGATCTGCACAGCAAACCACTGAAATGAATGTTATCATTCACTCTTACCGATGAGGAAATGGAGGGTTTCAGTAGCTTGCTAATGGGCTCCAAAGGAAAAGGCAGTGGCTCAGGGTATGACCTTGTTACTCAGTGATGCCCACCGGGTAAAACCGTGTATGATTGGTGAGGTAAAATTACCCCTTATTGAGCAAGAGAAACAAAGACAACCACACCCAGAAAACAAAATCCATCATGTAGTTCATGTTTAAAACATGGATACACATATAAGTCACATACAGTATACAGCATAGTATTAATGTTATAAGAAGGTAGTAGGGGGTGATAATGAATAACTCTAGAGATATGTTTGTCTTCAGCCAGGTGTCATATCACATGTGTATAGTCTAGTCACTCAGGAAGCTAAGGCAAAAGGATCAGAAATTTGGAGCTAGTCTGGGATGTGTAATGATTGCTAGCTCAGCCTTATAAAGGTTATAAAGCAAACCATGTATCCAAAAAAAAGTCCAGCAATGGCAACATATTCATACTGCTTCGATACTCTTTTTGTCTAGTTAGTTTACAGTAAGTAACAACTTACTTCTTAGAAATCATTTGATGCTTTGTTCCTCTTTCCTCTCCCCAACTTCACTAGAGGACAAGTCAGGCTGATGTGCACCCTGACTTCGCTCTAGCTCCTGCCAGCTGCATCCACCTCTGATCCCAGCGACAACTGACCTGATTCTGAGCTGATCTTCAGGGCACCAATCACACCCCAGACCTGGTGTCTCACTGAACTGGCTTTTGCTTCTCATTGCAGCGGGAGAGGAAGTGACCATCTACAAGCTTGAAGAAAGTTCCCCTCTGACCCTCGACAAGAGCATGTCCTCCTGGTCCCAGCACGGCAGAGCTGCCATGATCCAGGTGCTGTCACAAGAGGAAATGGATGGGGGCCTCCGAAGAGCCATGCGAGTCCTCAGCACCTGGTCTGAGGATGACGTCCTCAAGCCCGGCCAGGTTTTCATTGTGAAGTCCTTCCTCCCAGAGGTTGTGCAGATGTGGTACAAAATCTTTCAGGAGAGCACTGTGCTTCATCTCTGCCTTAGGGTAAGCCTGAGGCTCAGACACCCCGAGCTGGGATGGACAAAATAAAACCATAGAAGTGTGGCTACATCCTTATCCAAGATGGTAGGGAGTATGTTAGTTTTTGAAGGCAGTGAACTTTTTTTTTATTTTTAATTGTTGTTACATAGAACATTTGCTTTGACGGTATAAATTGGTAGAAGCTAAATAATATTAAATGTTGGGCAGTCTAAAAATTGTTTGTCCTTTAATAAGTAAGACTATGCTAATAAACCAATATTTAATCTTTTTGAGAATATCACAAATGCTGTATTTACAACATTTCGACCCCTTACTTACTCTCCAACACTTTCCATGTCCCCTGATTCTCTCCAAAATTTATTACCTCTTTTCCTATAATTATTATTGATAATTGATATTGTCACAGACACACTTGACATATATATATATATATAAATTTTTGTTTTTTTTTCTTTTTCTTTTTTTTTTTTTAGGAAATTCAACAGCAAAGAGCTGCCCAAAAACTCATCTATACGTTCAACCAAGTAAAACCACAAACTATTCCCTATACTCCAAGGTAGGTAAGCCTGGCACTGTGGCTCTTCATTATAAGAAGAATTTCTTTTAACCTCTTCTCAGCCCATTAGACATGAGAAATACCAGACCCATGGGAAAGCTCTCCTTGGCCTTCTTCGGGGTTTCTTTCTTCTGTAGTTATGCAGACTTGCATAAAGAGAATTAGATGTTCCAGACGTACCTTGGCTTAAGTTCCTGAATTTATGCAAGTGGAAAAGAGTTCAGACAGATTGATGACCAACATTTCAATTAGGTGAGACAGGCAGATGCTGGGTGTAGTTGCTAATGCCCAGGGGTATAATGGCCCCAAAACATGTCTATTTAAAGCTTAGTTGCTTCCCTAGCATCCTAAACCAATTAGGAAGTTTGCAATCACAAACCTTCATGTTCTTCCCTTGGGTGTCTTGATATTATTCATTTATCAAGGCAGATCATAATTTGTTGCTGAGAAATGATAATAAAGCCTTCCCCTCCACCCCCCTCCGTTTTATAAAGAAATTTTATAGAGCCCAGCAAGAAAAGTTGTATCCGGCCCTTGTAAAAAAGTTGGAAAGTTCTCTCAAAGAAAAGGGAGGCAAATAAGCATGGGAACAATCCTCCCAGTGTGGCGTTCCCTCTCTCCACAGAAAGGCCAAGGGTAGGTGATGTGTGCGGCCCAGTGCTTTGTAGGGTAGCTGCCATGCTTGCTGTTCTGTGGGGGATGATCTCCAGCTTCTTTTTCCCCTCACAGGTTTCTAGACGTTTTCTTGATGTACTGCCATTCAGCCAACCAGTGGTTAACCATTGAGAAGTTCATGTCTGGGGAGTTTCGGAAATACAATAACAACAACGGTGATGAAATCGTACCCACCAACACCCTGGAAGAGCTGATGTTGGCTTTCTCTCACTGGACATATGAGTACACCCGGGGAGAGCTGCTGGTCTTAGATTTGCAAGGTAATTAATTGAAGAGACAGGGGGCAAAGCTTCCAGAAAGCTTCCAATAACTCGGGTGGGCACATGGAGGTGCTCTGCCTAGCTTGGTAGAGAGATGTAAGTATTTAGTTCAGAGATGTTGTACAGTGATGAGCATGAGTACTGGATTTGCTGTCTTCTTAGATAGGACGGGGAATGCAGGCAGAAAATTGAATTCGGATCTTAAATTTTGAACTAGATGGGGAATGATTTTTGTACCATTTGTTTCAGTGTTACCCCTTTGCCTTGCCGTATGCTTACCATGAAATTTAAATATGTATTCACATGCATGGGAAAGTTTAAATTCTGGATACTTTTCACTATTTTGAGTCTCTTGCTTTGGCAATTTATAATGTAGTTTGCTTTCTTTGATGTATTCCTTGATAAGCCAGTTCAGGGAAGACCTTGGCTCCAAAAGAGGGCTGCAGTGCACTCTTAGTTAATGAAAGCCTTTGATCAGAGTATCTCCCACTATTACCACCTCCTGTGGGATGGCTAATCCCACAGCACAGAGAGTCTCCAGCAGGCTTTCCTTGTAAGGAGGGCACAGTATATGTGTTATGCTTCTTGGGCTCATAGCCTGGAGCTTTGGACTCAAATAAAGGACTTGGCCCAGAAGTTGTCATAAAAGTTACCTCATTGAATCACAGAAGCAGTGCCTTGAAATATATATTGTTGACGACTTAGGACCAAAGGCTTAAATAACTTGCCCTGGTTGCACAGCTCTTAAAGGACAGGCGGGATGCAGACTTAGGCTGGTTTGACTCTACATATCCTTTTCTCCCTGCACTGCTGTATTTCTTTGACAGTGTCATTCTGAGAGGAAATAACCATTTTAGGGTGAATTTAAACAACCTGAACTTTCTTCTTTTCTTTTCTGATTTCCCTAACTTTTCAGTTCTTGGCAAAATCAGGTTGGAGGCTGGGAAATGTTGAGATTGACATTCTTGGGGCACCGGTTACAATATCCAGGAATATGCAAAGTCACTTTGAAATCTGTCTCACATGCTCAGTGGTCAATCTACACTTAAAGCAATGCACATGTTACTAAGTATGTCTGCCTTTTGGTATTCCTGTATTCTCAAGGCTGGATTATATTTCTAAACCTCAAACAATTTTTTTTTTCAGGAAGGAATATAAACTGAATTAACATGTCCAAAAGAATTCAGCTTTTTATACCAGCAAGCACTTGATGAATATACACCCGGAGTTGGGGGTGCCAAAGGCATCTGCTTTGTAGCTCTGGTTGGAGAGACACTGATGGTTTTCATCTGTGCTCCACTGTTTGCGCTCTGGCTTTGAGTTTTGGGTGGAGTTTTTTAAAGAGCCAAAACAGAAACAACAACAAAAAACAACCAAAGAAAAACTGGAAGGCATTAATGATGACTCTTCAGTGTGTTTTGTATTTCAACTTGAATAGGGTTTAGTTTAATGATGTTTATGTTTGGGGATTTTTATGTCTCTTAGTAATCCAAAGTGACATTAAACAGAACAAATGCTGCGATTATAAGTCTTGGGGGTGGAAAAGGAAATTAACTTTATTCTTCTTCTGAGTAATTATGTGAATTGCTGAAATAGGCCACTGCAAGTCAACTATGTCAAAACATTGACCTTCAAAGAAGGCATCAGCAGACATCACAGAACACACAGAATAGGTGTCATGAAATGCATGAACTGTATCAGGAGACAAGATAATTATTGGGCAGAATTCATGGAAGAATATGAGTTATAATGCTATTGCTAGCTAAATCTAAACAAGGTTGGAAAGGAAAATTGTGTTTTTAAGATTTTTTTTTGTTCACTTTTATGTTGCCTTTTGTTTACTAGTATTTCTAGTTTTGGAAAGTTGATGTACTTTTCTTGCCTCCACTGTAAACTAGCTGTATGCCCTGTGGAGCATTCGCCTTGAGTCTCACCTCTCTCATTTCCAAACAGGAAAAACAATATCATGCCGTTAAGTGATTTAGTTATGGACTCATTCAGGAGCTCAAGTGAGGCAAGTTCTCTGTGTCAAGCCCTTACTGCTTTGAGGGCAGGAAGCACGAAGGAACACTTGGGCAGTTAACCGGAAACAGCCATAGCAGGCCAGGAAGCTCTACTCTGAGGGGAGGTGTGACCAATTTCCCATTATTTATAATTATAATGAAGTTTTCTGGTATTTTTCCACTTAAAAATTTTACATGGGAAGGTCTGAATCATCATTATTACACTTGAAGTCCAACAGTTAATTCCCAGCAGTGGAAATTAAAAACAATTGTATTTGAAATTAGATTAATGTTTAGTATTCTTCTTATTCTATTTTTTTTTCCAACAAACCTTTGGCGATACAGTATTAATTTTTTTTATTCAATAAAGCAATTTTTAGAAGAAGTTGGTACCCACATCATCATGAATGATGTTCCTACGAAGAGGTAACCTATTTGTATAGAAGGAATAGAAGGTCATGGGTGTTGCCTAGTTGGATAAAGTTCTATAAAAGTTTCTGAGCTTTCTCTGGGTGTGGGTTAAGAGAGATCATCAGTAAAGAGAATAATTAGATATCAAATTAGTTTACTTATTCCATACTTCCCAGATATCAGGAGAGACTGAAGCCGGAGGGACTGGGTTGAGTAGCTCTCGTGTGTCTGGAATAGCCCTGTGAGTTAGCCTGGCTAACTGAATGTGGAAAGCACTGAACTGTTGCTCTTCAGGGCTTCTCTCTTTGTCCACAGGTCACAAAGCCCTTCTTCCACTAGAGCAACTCAAAATGCGTTGAGCTTTAACACACAAATATGGGTCAATGGGTTTTTAAAGAAAACCCCGCCTTTGCAAGGTGTTCTGTAAGAGTTAGGAAATGCGCTTTTGGGGAATAAGATAGAAATATGATTTTACCCCTGATCAGAAGATAATGTTTCACTTCATGAGAAGGTCTAGATATAATAAAGAAGCTGAGAATAACAGCCGACATTGAAAACTTATTATGGGTCAGATACAACGCATTGAATTCTCCTAGTAGCCCTTTCTGATAAGGCCTTATCAGATGATAAACCAGGGCTTCAGGGAGATTAAGGAGGGTACCTAGGCCTCACTGCCAGACCATGGTAGGGCTTGGGGTGGAGCCTTTCTCTGCCTTAAGATTTCTATGACTCTAACAAGCCACAAGATTTAACTGTTCTTGAATGAAATTTAGACATTCCTTTTTCTTTCTTTTCTCTCTCTCTCTCTCTCTCTCTCTCTCTCTCTCTCTCTCTCTAATTCTGCAAAGATTTTCTTCTTTTCCAACTAATAGTGCCTCTTCAGCTATTGTACATAGTCTTGGCTTAAATGTACACTTTATTTAGACATGGACCTAAAACTTTAATCATTATCATAAGCTCCAGGCTTAAAGTTCGGTCTGGGCTTAATTAAAAAGGTAAAGGCTCCGCAGCTGTCAGCCCATCTACCGGAGGTGCTGGAACACACTTCCGCCTGATTCTGTTCACTCCATAGTTGTAATTATTACTTGTTAGATGTGCTAGTGGGCAGCAGGCCTGAGTTAAATCCTGCCAGTGAATGGGCTAATAAAGAAGGCCATGTAGGTATTGTAACACAGCAGTGAAAATATTTTGATAACTTCTTCAGGATCATTGATTTCCTTTATGAGTTATGTACTTAGGATTTTATGGTAAGACATTTTCAGAAAAAAGGGCTCTTTCGCTTCATCAGGTTCACAAAGTCATGAAACAGCCGCCTCCTCACATGTGCTGAACATTCCTGCTCCAGTCTCCACTCTAAGTTATTTTCCCAAGAAAATCAGCTTCTTAGCACAAAGTGTGTAAGAGTTACAGCTTCCCGTGACAGGCTAACTGTTCCAAAAGAGAGAGACCGCAGCAGAAATCTTTAAAAGACGCAAGCTTCTGTCTTTAAAAAAATGCAGATTTATAACTTATTTCTTAAAATAATCTTTCATTTTAATTAAAATATAATTACATCATTTTTCTCCTTTTCTTATCCTCCTTCCACCCTCTCCTGTGACCTCTTCCTCCAACTCTTCCCATATACCTTCCCCCATTCTCTCTCAAATTCATGGTCACTGTTGATATAGATATATCACTTTTCCATATATATATATATTTATATAAATATAAATTGCAGAGTCCATTTCGTTTTGCTCATATGCACATGATTTCAGGGATGACCATTTGGTATTAGGTAACTAGTGTTGGAGCTCATCCCTGGAGATGACTAATTCTCTCTCTCTCTCAGCAGTCCTTAGTTTTCTGTAGTTCTTTGCCTAAGGATGGGGGTCCCTTGAAATTTTCCTCTTCCACTTTAACAAACATGAACTTTTTTCAAAAAGTAGCAGTAATATAACAATATTCTAGAATTCATGTAACTTTTGATAATCACCCTACAGAGTCAGTGTCTTTCAAGCAGAGGAAATAAAAAGCCCCAGTGAGAGAGTGGTCTCAGAAGTTGCTCGGTATACCTAGCTGGCTCGTTCACTGTCTAGCTGGCATCCCTGAAGTCTCTTCGCCATTGGAAACCAGTCCCCTCACTGCTTGGATGTGGTAGCGGAGGCTTACTTTTGGTGTTGAACCGGGCTCTGATTAAGTTCAGCCTTACACTGCACCCATGTGTAGGCTTTGCTCTTTTCTTTTCAAAACTAAATTTTATTGAAGATGCATTTCACAGAGTGCACAGAGCACAAGCATAAGCCTCAAAGAATTTTCTCAGCTGAACACGCAGGTGGAGCCGGCTCTCAGATCAAGAATGTGGTGTCGTTTTATTCTACTGTTTATAAGTACTATATATAGATATAGCATTTGATGTGTCTCTTTGATGCGTAGAGGCTGTACCTGCAAAACCTCCCAGGGCCTCACCCTCGCCAAGCACTGGCGGAGGCCATCTAAGGAGACCATGAACTAGTGGGAGGAACACAGTACTGCCCCAGCTTTAATCGTGTTATGGCCACTTCTGGGATAAGCAATCTTTGGCAAGTTCTTCAATCTCTTTGAACATCAATGTACTTATTGATGTAAATGAGGATAAGATGTAAATTGAGGATTTGAGGATAATATTTTAATGCCATGAGAATTAGAGAAAGTAAAATTAGATGCCTCAGTGCATACAACTGGCAGATGAATTGCAGATACATGGGTCTATTGATAGATGCCACTATCAGTAAGTCTTAGGACACCATTAAAACACTAATTTGTGGCCAGATTTTTTATTAGTTCAGAGTAGGCTGTAGCAGGACACCCTGTATTGAAAAACCTTCCTAAAAGATTTCCACAGACCCTTTAATTAGCCTGGTATTTAACTAACTTACTATAGAATGAATGAGATAGAGTCTTACACTGTAGATCAGGCTGGCCTAGAATTCACTAGATAGTTCAGACTGCCCTTGAACCAGTGACAATTCCCCAGCCTTAGCCTCTCGAGTTCTAGGATTACAGGGGTGAGTTACCACATCTGGCTTGAATGTATCTTTCAAAAAAGGAAAACAGAATCCAGTTATTAATTTTCTGCATATCTAAGAAAATAGACCCTCATTTGCTTAACGAATTTTGCTTCTTCTTTTGAGGTGTTGGAGAAAACTTGACAGACCCATCTGTTATAAAACCCGAAGACAAACAGTGAGTTGACTTATGGGTTATAATTTAGAAGTGTGCTTTCAATTTGTTTATGTTTTTAACAGTATTTTTAATGGTTGCATAAAATATAAAAATTATGTATATTAATGTGTATCATGTAATGTTTTGTCATCTGCATAGATTATGTAATGTTTAACGGTTCTTTTTTCATAACTTTAAAAAATGAGTTATTGTTAAACTTGTGGGTGTTTTGACTGAATGTATGTCTATGCATCCTGTGAATGCATAGCCCAGGAGAGGGTGTCAGATCCCCCGAACTGGAGTTGAAAGACAGTTGTGAGTTGCCATGTGGTGCTGAAAACGGAACCCTAGGTCCTCTGGAAGAGCAGCCAGTGCTGTTAACCACTGAGCTCCAGCCAGCACTTTAGTTTTTTCAAAACAAAAATAAAACATTGGAAATGATCAGGACACTGTGGGCAGAGGTCTTAGTTTCTTAAGAGAATTTTAAACACATACGTATTGTCTTTTAGATCCCAGAAAAGTTTTCTAACTATTATTGCACATCGATGTAAAACAAGGTTTTTAGACTTACATCAAGCTTTTCATACTTCAGACAAGATTTTCCAAGCCACCTCAACTAGGAAATGAGTAAAGAGAAAGAATGAAAATGAATTAAATTTAATTCTAGAGCTGGGCTGGTCAGCATAAGTAGAAATTATAAGGGTCAGTGTAGTCTTCAGACTTTGGCTGCAAATTTGACTTGTGTTTTCTACTGGTCTGAACGTAAGAGGGAAAGGTTTAAGTTTGGCTTGGTCTTGTTAGTTTAGTTTGACATAGAAACAATGCAGGAACAGAAGCAGCTTCCTTTGTTGTCTTCACTGTGGAATGGCTGCTTCTGAGCCCAACCAGCCTCTTTACAGGCAAACCAGGGAAGAACTGAGAATGCAGAGTGCTGTTCTTAGCCACGTGGTTAGAGCCCAAAGCCACAAGGCTTAAATATGAGGCATCAGACCGTCTAACTTAATTCAGAGCCAACTTACATAGAGGAATGAGTCATTCACCTGTCTTTTGAGTTCCCAGGACATTTTGTGATTTTTGGAGGACTTGGCACTAAGGCTTTTTAGGTGTCCCTTTAAAGGTGGAATGAAAAGTGCCAATTTACTGATAACTGATCAATATGGAGAACAGCAGTGGTTCTTACGTGTGAGTTACTGGCGTGGTCCACAGGAGAACTTGTTAAAACAGATCATTGTGGTTTTAGCTCCAGAGTTTCTGATTTAGTTGTTTTGAAGCGGGGCCAAATGATCTGCATTTCTTACATGTTACACATGAGATTGACACCGCAGACCTATGGGGACTTCGAGAACCGTGGGTTGAATAACACTTTCAGTTCTGAAAGAACTTTATTTCTTTTTTTTTTTTTTAAGAATTTAAAATCCAGTTTTATCATAGCCATTTCCAAATTTGTTTTATACATTTAACTTTGTAAAACATTTTAAATGACATATTTTATCAAAAACACTTAACACTTTAAATATAAAACAGTTTGGGAGTGCATAAAAACACAGTCAAGAAGCCTTACCAGGCCACAGAGAAGGCTGGAGAGATGGCTCAGCCGTTAAAGGCTAGGCTCACAACCATAAATATAAGAGAACTTCATTTCTAATTGTGAAGTCTCACCGTTGTATAGCTCAGGGTGGCCTTGGGCTTTGGAGCCTTGAGCCTCTGCCTCCTTACTGCTGAGATTATGCTAGCCGTGCTGGGTTAACATTCCCACTTTTTGGTCAAACTGAGGGCCTGTACTTGGTTGCCAGGTCATAGAAAACACGTCCTGACACAGTAAAATGTGGAAGCTTTTTTTTTTTTTTCTTCTCGGGGACCTCATTAAATAATCAACAGGCTTTTCTGCACCACTCTTTCACTGAATGATTTACTCACTGTGAATATGGCCCGTCTGCAGAGTTCTCTTAGAAGATGTCCATTCACCAATCAAAAGTGTGCTAGGAATTACTTGGCTCGGGGTGGGAGTGGGGACAAGGAAGATACAGATGAGGCAGAGCGCTCCTCTGCAGCACCCAATTCCTATTATATTTATTTGCCTATTGAGTCCATGTTGGACTTGTGGAATAATGGACTATTTTATTTTTCAGTTTAGCACAGTTGAAGTGTTTTCAGCTAATCATATTATTTCTTTAGCAGTCTTGTGTGCTCAAGGGCTTGTATTAGGATTTTTTTTTTCCTATGAGAACTTCCTTTACAATTTTTTTTTCAGTGCAGACTTTTTGCATATATAATGAACTGAGTTTATGTGTATTGTGTCTATTGTTCATTAAATTTTGACCTTGGCATATATCACTTAATATGACCTGAATACTCCATCTTTTAGAATCTAAGATTATATTATCCTACTTGACAGTTAGGTATTTAATTGCATTCTATAGGAAGTGGGTTTCAATTTCTATTAAGGTCATATGGGGAATTAGAAAAAAAACATGCTTAGGTTTGGCATTCTACTGCAATGTCTGAATAGGGCCCTCGTCACTGTACATTTTTTTAAGTTCCTCAGTGTAATTCTATAAAATTATTATGGCAGCTTCGTGTTCCATGACTTGAGGACAGTGTTTCCTGAAATGGCTAGAATGGTTTCATTGTGAAAATGCCCAACTCTATGTATTTGGTTTTCACAGTGACCCTAAGTTTTATTTTCTCTCAACTAATTAGTTCCACTAGAACGATATCTAATTAATCAATGAAGCTTGTGTGAAATCTTTGTTAAACAAAGTGTGAGCCATAGGTCAACTTTACCACCAGGGAAATGCCTGGTCTCTGAGCCTTCTCTATGCCTTAAGAACCAGAAGCTGAACTTATATAAAACCTTTCTGGTAAAATGATGTAAATTCAAGTTTAAGAGGCACAGGTTTAAGCAGCTGATTTCATCCATGCAACAACTCTGTGTGTTAGTTGATTTGTGTGTGTGTGTGTGTGTGTTTGTTTTGTTTGAAACAGCGTTTCTCTGTGTAGCTTTCGCTGTCCTGGACTCCCTTTGTAGACCCAGGCTGGCCTCAAACTCACAGAGATCCGCCTGCCTCTGCCTCCCTGAGTGCTGGGATCACAGGCGTGCGCCACCATTTCTGGCTTCTGTGTGTTAGTTTTAATCTCAGTTCACACATGAGAACATTGAGACTCACTCAAGGCTCTAACTTCTTTGTAAGTGGAAAGAGCCATTGGAAGAGAGCAGTTTTCTTTGGAAAGGGATCACGACTGTAGACTAATTCTAATATGCTTTCCCATGCCTTCTCCCACTGTTTCTAACTCTCTTTAACATGCCTCATTTGTTGGTAGTTTGGGACTGAGTCTTTTTAGCCTACTGCCTGATGGTTTTGAGCATTTGTCAAGTATGAAATGGTGATGAGATGTCCTTTAGTGACTATGTATAGATGGCACTAATTAGCATTTCCTTGTACGTAGAACCAAGCTACCACCTGCTTTTCCTGTGTTGTAAAAAAAAAAAAAATCTGGAAAACAGCTAGTTGTGTTTTCTTTGAAAACTTAGTTATCTGAGATGGCAAGGCTTGGAGCATGCCGTGGAGCGTACATACAAAGGCAATGCCCCTACAAGCCCCTCACCCTCCCCGCTGTGGGAGGCATCATTAATGTATAAATTTTGTAGGAATTTTGATTGTATTATTTTAATTTTCACAAAGCCCATGGAGAAAAACAGCTTCCATATTTTACTTGAAGCTTTTATATCTTAGTTGGGTGTCTTTATGCCTTCCTGGGAGGGCAGAAACGGCTGGTATGGAATGCAAACAAGCGAAATTTTCCTATGAGGTCACCCAGAGACTCCAAAGGTAGTCTTCCATGCTAATGACTGAACGGATACCCTCACTTTATCAGATCAGAGAGCTCTGGTCTAAATACCGAGTGATTCTGCTTTTTTTATTTTATTTTATTTTATTTTATTTTATTTTATTTTATTTTATTTTATTTTATTTTATTTTTATTTTTGCCACGTTCTGTGTCACCTGACTGAGGTAGTGTCTCTCTGGCAGGACTGAAATCGAGGCACAGAGGCACAGTTACTAAGAAGCGGCTTATGCTGCCGGGTAAATACCACCAGAGAGCTATGCTTTGTGAGAGCGATTGAGTGACCAGGAAAGTTAATCCCCACTGTCTTTCCAGTCTGTCTTCCCAAGAGGTTTTCTCCACCTACCCAGCACAGAGCGGGAGGCAATCTGAGATCAAATTGACATCAGCCCTCATTCTGAGCTTGGCACATCTTCAGAGAGCCACTGTTCTTCTGCCAAAAGGAAGTGGAAATTGAGATAAATGTTTCAATCCTCGGATGGAAAAAAAAAAGTCCATTTTTACACCATGTCTCTTTTGAAAAGCCACATTCCTCAGAAGCAAAGTTTATTGTTTCCCTTTGTGATAGTCTGCTGGGCTTTTTTTTTTTCTCCTTAGGACGTGGTATTTAAGAGCGGTAATTGAGTTCAGATTTTAAAATGTGCTGTTTCCACTGTGCATGTCATTAAAATAAAATATTAGCCTTCATAAGCTTTCTTCCGAGACATTTCTGGTGCCTTCTGTCCTGTGTTGTGCGGAGGGTCAAATTCTAAAGAATAATGGTTGTGTGAACAGCAAGCCTAGAGTCTGCTGAGGATCTTTATGTTGGAGAGTTTGAAACTTGTCTCAGCGACACTACTTGTAATTAATTCTGTTACCTAGTCTGGGCATCTGAGGTCTCTTTCCTCAAACTCTTTGGCTAATACTTGTCTTGACTTCCCACAAAGAGTCCAGTTGAAACAGTTTGCAGGGTGGAAAGTGCCTTTCCAAACGTCAGGAATCCCTGGGTGCTCGTGTCCAGAGAGGTCTGATTGGGGGAGAGTCATCTTCAGAAAAGTGTTTGCCTGTGCGGCAGTGCACAGGCATTCTTCTCAGAAGGTGTGTTCCACGGCAAAGTTATTCTATCCTTCACCTTTGGGGTGTTCTAGTGGAGCATATGGTAATGAATGTCATTCTCTCACCCCATATGCATTAAAAAGGGTTTCACTGTATTTTGTTTTAATGTAGCACATCGAAAATTCACTCTTCTATCAGATTAGTGTTGGAATGAGTTTCACAGTAGGTCTTGGAGTTGGGTACAAAGATTTAAGTGCATTTGAATTTTAAATTTGCAAACCCAACAATGTTACTTTCCCAAAGCGCCCTGTTCTTTGTTGGCTCCTTTAAGTGGCTAGGTTACTACGGGATACTGTTCGCAACCTCAGAGAATCCCGGTTGGACTCCTTTTTCTCAGCCGTGATCTAATTGATATTCTGATATTTTCTCTAGATCAAGAGGGATGGTGTTTGGACCGGCCAATTTAGGGGAAGATGCAATTAGAAGCTTCATTGCAAAACATCGCTGCAACGCCTGCTGTGGGAGGCTCAGGCTGCCCGGTAAGCCTCGGCGATGCGTATCTCCCGAGAAACTCTCAGAGAATAACAGTCATTGTAACTCGGGATCCAGTGAAAATCTTAACCACATTTTTTTTTTTTTTTTTTTTTTTTTTTTATCTCATTCGCAGCCATTCACAAGCTTGACTTTCTGACTGAAAATTTTCAAGTCTTAGGAGGGATTAAAAAAGGACAGGGATTGCTCGAGGTTCTGCCAAAATGTGATAAAACAACCTGGGGCCCGTGCTTGTCACAGTCAAGCCACAGGAAAAAAAAAAAGTTACACCCACTTAAAGGAAGTGAAATGGGCTGAAGGCCCCACTCTTCCCTTCCAGCGTCCTGTTTGCTCGCAGCCAGCCAGCATGCTTGTAGCATTTTTATTCTGTTCCAGTTTGCCCATTGGGCACCGGAGAGGGTGTGGCCCAGAGGGAAAGAAAGGCTGTCAGTTAAAACGCTACTTTATTCTGGAACAATTGCCCCTTTATTCACTCGTTTGTTTGTTTGTTTTACAGCAGTGGGCTTAGAACCCAGGACTCTGTTATGCTAGGCCAGCACTCTACCACTGGTTACACACTCCCAGCCCCCACACCTGCCTGTGTGTGTGTGTGTGTGTGTGTGTGTGTGTGTGTAGTGAGCGAAATCCTGGCTCTGTTGGGGTCTATTTGGCCTCTTCAGAAAGGGGGCTTGCTGTCTGCCTCAGCCTGCTTAACTCTTTTTCCTGGGTCATTGTGAGGGTCTTCTGACACTGGAATCCATACCTACAGCTAAAGATATTATACCCAGGAGCTCATGGTCAGCTTAGGCAACATAGTTAGGTTCCATATGTGTGTGTGTGTGTGTGTGTGTGTGTGTGTGTATCCTGAACTGTAAATCAGCAAAAGAGCATCCTCCACTATAACCAGGGTGGACCTGTGTATGCAATTCCTAATTATGTTGGAAGTGGGGGAGGCTTTCTTTGGTGAAACTTAGCCAAGAAGTTAGGCCTCTAGTTCTTTCCCCCAGGAGTGGCAAAAGAGTGTCAGGCTGCAGTGGCAGATGAGTAAGTGGCTGGGGAAAGCCAAAAGAGCAAAGCAGGAGGGGAGGCTGCACTCTCGCAATGGCCCATGATGTGACCTCGTAGCAAGAAGATCCAAGCACAACTCTGTGTCCTCTGGACTGCTCATCAGGAGCCCAGGAAGGGTCATGAGGGTTGGCAGCGAGCACCTTTACCTGTCCCCAGTTTTATTGTTGTTGTTGTTTTTTCTTATGCATTCTCTCCTCCTACTCATGCAAACTTTTTATCTTCTTTATTTTCGAATAACTTTAAGATTCACAAACTGCAAGACTTCCTAGAGTGCTCACTAGCTTTCCTCATTCTCTCTCTCTGACTCTCTCTGATGTCTGAAACCCTGGTTTTAAAAATTAAAACTGAAATAGAAATAATAAAAACACCCTCTTTCTTATTGTTGGTAACTGAGTAACAATGTTTAGTTTGGAGAACAGAATGAGAAGTACCTTTTAGTTTTTATGTTTTGTTTATTTTTAAGAATATGCATAACTACCTGGAATCTAGACCCAGGCAGGCAGGGCTCACATACCCTCCAATTCTGCTTTCCCCTGGCTATAGGGCTTTGGCCTTCAAAATCTTCATCTGCAAGTGATAATTGTATCTGTCTCACCAAGTTGGTATGATGATTTATTTTATGTTTATGCTCAATAAATGTTGGTTATACTATTAAATATATATTAATATACATATACATATGTTAGGAGTTTGTTTTTTTTTTTTCTAGAAAAATCACTATTTAAAATTAAAAAGTAAACTAAGAAATAAAACATTTAATTTTGGTACCAGAGGTTGAGCTCAGGGGTTCACACCACGGCTAGATATATACTCTAGTCCTGAGTGACATCCTTGGCTATCTAGAGCCGTCACCTACAGCTTCCAGTCCTAGAGCCCAATTAGCTCAAGGCTAACAAATCAAAGGAGTGAAGAAGGAGGCTGTGCTCTTCTAGATGCCCATGATGTGAGTTCACAGTAAATGGACAAAGAGACCAAAGCACAGCACTGTGTCCTCTGGGCTGATCGGTTGGGTCTGGGCTGAGGCACATCAGGACTCTAGGTAAGGGAGGCAGGAGCGGATGGATATCTGAATCATTCCATAATTGCAGGCTGGAATCCACTCATGATTCACAGCGCAAAAAGATGCATGCAACATTTAATGTCCTTTTTTCCGAAAGTCTCCTTCCAAGCTTACACTGTTTGCCACTTTCTTTAAATTTCCTTTGTAAACGGAAGAGGAAGGGTTTAGGAAACATCTGATGTGATCTCCGGATGATGAAAGTTTTGTGTGTGGCCACAGAGCTGAGGGCAGCTTTCTTGCAGAAAGTTGAGCCCTGGCATCTTGTGTCACCATTGCAAGCCGTCCCTCTGATCCTTCCTAGGGTCTTCCATTTCTTGCTGGACCTCAATGAACTTTGGCTGGTCACATCTTCTCTCCCTGCTAGGTGGTGGCCAGTGAGTCACAGTTAGGGAGTTAGAGTTTCATGTAGTCATGGGATGCGAGAGGGCCTGGGTTTGGATATGGTTGAGTGTTTGGAATCCGTATGCCCAAGGCCTGGGGCAGCAGAGACTGAGCATTTTGATTAAGCGTGAAGTCCAGTCCACCTGCACGATTCAATGTGTTCTAAGGCATCCCTTGAAACTGTCTTGCTCTCTTTGCAGATTTAAAAAGAAATGATTATTCTATCGCAAGGACACATTGCAACTCGGGACCAGAGAAAATTGTTGAACCCGCTGAGGGGCTTCCAGCAAGAGACATAAAGAGAGGTTCCATGGAAGATCTCACACGTCTATAAGAAGGGAGACAAAGGAAAATGATGGTTCTCCAGCTCCTTCTGCCGTGAACTCTGAGGTGATGAACATAGATCGGCACGGTCCTGTCTGTGTCAGAATCTCTGTCAGGATGACTTTACAATGTGGAACTCCCTGGAAGTGTCCTCTGACCCTCCTCTCCCACTGCGCAGAGGACACAGCATATCATGGAGGGCCCCTCCTGCGTATTGACCTCTGGTCAGAATGTTTGGTGTACATGCTCATCGGCAGGTTCTGCATGAAGACTCTAGATGAGCCAGTTGGGAATACTTTTCTTTATACCTCATTGCTTCAGCTGGCCACTTGGAACTGTTGGAGTAGAATGTTGCACACTTAAGATCCAGGGGATAAATTAATTTATTTTCTCACTGTGCTGCAGACTTGTCCCCACTGTGATTCATTATTTCATCCAGGGGTTGTACATATGTGTATACATACGTTAAGAATATATGTGATTTCTTCTTTCTTCCATAGCAATATAAGATTTGAATAGCAGCAGCAGGGAAAACCCTGGGAAGAGTGTCTGTTGGCCTGGTTTGGAGCATAAATAGCCATAAAAGGTCCATGTCATGGTGAACTCTAGATACATTGGAGTATTATCATCCAATCACACGATGCTTGGGCTTTTCCAGTGTCTTCGAACAAAAGAAAAGGACAAATATAAACCAATCTCTCTTGAATCTTTTTTTTTTTTTTTCACAGAAAATGAGAATGTCTGTAGGATATGTAATGCTACTTTATTAAGCTCAGAAACCCTACGGCCAGAAACCCTTGCCACTCTGTTCATCCTCTCCCTCTCGGCGCTGTATCCTATCCCATCCATGCTCTCCTTGTGCAGTCCCGGGGGGAAAGATGCTGAAGTGTTTTGCAGGTACTCCCCACCCACTTCCTTCGTAGAATTCTGACGATACGAACACTTCATCAGTTTCTGGAGGTTCAAGTGAGGTATTCCTGGAACAACCCCGTGTTGTGGGCAGCTCCCTCTTGCATGCTTAGGCAGGGTTGCCCTGCTTCAGAACAAGCATGGCTTTTACAGCAGCCACAGAGACGGGAACAGGGAGACCTCTCCCCGTCCACCCCTGCAGCTCCCACTCGCCAGAAGCTAACCTCCTGGGCCTAAACATCTTTGTCTTTAGTGCTTACCTTAGGTGACTTACTTCTGAGTCTGCTCTAGAATTCTAAATTCCTACTTTCTTAGGCGGCACCTCAAGGGAAGTGTTGCATAGTGGGGTGGAAAGCAATCATATGGGGTTCATTTAACTTTGAGAGTTCATCTATAATCCTTTTCCTTCTGCTTTGGGGTTGATAGGAGGTGGGGAAGTTGGGCAATTTCTTCTCTTCCCTCCCTCTCTCCCACTTTTCTTCCCTCCTTATCTTCTTCCCTTCCTTCCTTCCTTCCTTCCTTCCTTCCTTCCTTCCTTCCTTCCATCCTTCCTTCCTCTTTCCCCTTTTCCTTCCTTTCTCTCTGTGTATCATAGCCAACATACTCCCAATCCTCCTGTCTCAGTCCCCTAGGTATGTGCTTGGGTGAAACAGTGATTGGTAATGAGGGTAAATACTGCTGTCGGGGGATGATGCTCAGCAGTATTGTCCAATCTCTGAATAAGTAAGGGATCCGTTGGTCTCACTTCAGTGCTGTTCTGGAAAGGGGCAGAGTTTACCTATCCAAGGGCCAAACTAAACACATCAATTTATTGACCAAAATACTTGTAAACTGGAGTGAAACTTGAAAGCAAATAAATTCTGATTGCAGTCTTGTGGTGTACATTTTTTATTATTAATTTTTATTTTTTATATTAATCACAGGTTACTTACTTTGTATCCCACCTGTAGCCCCCTCCCTCATTCCCTCTCAATCCCACCCTCCCTCCCTCATCTCCTCCCTGCCCCTTTCCAAGCCCACTGCTAGGGGAGGTCTTCCTCCCCTTCCATCTGACCCTAGCTTATCAGGTATCTTCAGGACTGGCTGCCATGTCCTCCTCTGTGGCCTAGCAAGACTATTCCTCCCTCGGGGGCGGGGTGTGTGGGGAGGTAAAAGAGCCAGTTGTTGTGTTGAGTTCATGTTAGAAATAGTTCTTTTTCTCCTTACTAGGGAAACCCAGTTGGTTACTGAGCTACATCTGAGCAGGGGTTCTAGGTTATATCCTTACATGGTCCTTGGTTGGAGAAACAGCCTCATAGAGGGCCCCTGTGCCCTGATATATTTTGTCCTTGTGGAGCCCCTGTCCTCTCTAGGTCATACTAATTCCACCTTCTTTCATTTGATTCCCTGCACTCTGTGGAAGGTTTGGTTATGAGACTCAGCATCTGCTAGGTAGAGTCTTCCTGTCCTGTTACTTGTTTTTTCCTACTTCCAATGTCCATCCCATTTGTCTTTCTAGGTGAGGATTGATCATCTTACCCTGGGTCCTCTTTCTTGTTTATCTTCTTTAAGTATATAGATTTTAGTATGTTTATCCTATCTAATAGGTCTAGTACCCACTTATAAGTAAGTGTATATTGTGTGTGTCTTTCTGCTCCTGGCATACCTCACTCAGGATGATCTTTTCTAGATCCCACAATTTGCCTGCAAATTTCATGTGGTGTACATTTTTTTTTTTTTAAACACTAAGAAATACAACAGAATACTATCTGAAAAAAAGAACTGCTGGCCAAAGGTCACTGGGATTGCTTCTGTATGATGTGACAGTGTTGGTTCTGAGCAACTTATGATCACAAAAGGAGACAGTGCTCCTTCATCGAGCTGATGGTCTTCAGCAGTTATTTATGAAACATCTTTTCTCAGCAGCATCTCTGGTGAGATTGTCGGGGTGAATAACCACGTACTTGCTCTTCAAAAGCTTCATGTCTTATCTCTCTCCCTTTTTTTTTTCCTTTCCCACCCTCCCTCCTTTTCTCATTCCTACCCTTTCTTCCTCCCTCTCCTCTCATTCTGGTTTTGTTTTGTTCCATGTTCGGATCTCTACTAAGTTCTGAACATTGGACTTCTAGCTGGGTCCGGCATCCTCCCTGCTAGAACAGTGGGCTGGGATTGGGATAAGAGAACTAGGGCTAATAAGAAAACATGATAGTCTAGCACCCTGAGGGAAAATGAACTGCATAATCCTTTTATAGGTGCGGAGCCCTAGTCCTGGGTGGGATCTGGATGTGAGGGTCTCAGAAGAGGCTGAGGTCAGGAAGTTTCTGTGTAGGGAATCTAGCACGTGGAGTCTTCTTTCCACAGGTAATTATCCATGTCTGGATTCTGAGGGTGTCCACTCTTGCTGTCTTAAAGCTTTCTGTATCTCTGAGGAGTAGGATTTAATATAGTTTGGGGGAATTCCTTGCTCCGTGGCCTTGCAAATCAAATTCTAGACAGTTAAGAGTTCCCAGTAACCATCTAGTCGGTGCTCGAAGGATATTGTATTGTTGTTGGTGTTGACTAAGGTGAGAGCAAATACTCCGGTTTTAGAAGTGATGACACATGCCCTTGTCAGGTCCTCTTATGCTTCTTACAGGATCAAGCAATGGGTATGGCTCACAGCATGAGGTCAACAGAATTTTTTTTTAAAAGAAATAACACAATCTTCAAAAGATAGTGGACTTCATTCACTAGGTAATAAATCAGATTTACATTTTTAACCTAGAAGGAAACGACTACCAACTCTTTAAGAGCCAGTATGATTCTTTTGATGTCTCTCTGTTTTAATTTTCTATGAAATAGCTTTTAACAACCTATACCTTGTCTATTGAATTCTTAACCAGTTCTTACCCTTATCACCATCGGTGATAACGCCTGAGTGCAGTCCTATACTGGTGACTATTGAAATAAGATGATAACTTCCCAGAAACTGCCTAGAAATAATCATCACTTTATTACCCTTTGAAAAGAAGATTGATAGAAAAGTCATTTGAAAGATGGTTCATTACCATGCCCTAGTAAGATTTCTTTACTCACATCTCACCAAAGCACGAGAAAGGGAGGATTATTCTCTGAGGTCGGAATTTGAAGGCTGTGTGTTTTGCCTCTTTGAAGTCTTGGTATTTAATTTTCTGTAGTCATTTCTTGGGCAATTTTCTAAGAAACTAGTTGAAGCTAATTTATCATAAGTTAAAGTCAAATGACAGAAAAGATTTTTTTCTTCCTTAACAGCATTTTATACCACAGAGGTTAGCTTCTGATGGAAATTGAGACTTAAATAGCATTTCAAATCTCCAGCCACATGGGCGGCGGCAGAAAATAGCAAGGATTCAGGAGGACACACCGGCTTTGCAGTTAACACATTGTTATTTATTTATTTTTTTGCCTTTTCCTTGTAGACCAGTATGTGCAGATAAAACATTTTGTGTGTGTGTGTGTGTGTGTGTGTGTGTGTGTGTGTTTGTGTGTGTGAAATACTCTCCTAAAAATAATTAGGAATGTTTAGTTTTTCAAAGAAAGACATGTCATCCTCTTGGGATCATGCACCTTGGTCTCCATCATTTAAGACTTTTAATATAAGTTTATATAATTTATTTAACCTTTCTGTTAACCCCTAACTCTGAAATGGAGATGAAGATGCTTAACTTCTAAATGAAGGTGAATGAAAATGAGATAGCATTTACAAGGTCCTTTGAGAATCTCATTTAAAAAGCTTCTCGTGAGCCTGGAATCCAGTTCAATGGAAAGCTAGAGGTTTTCATTTTGGCATGATGAGATCATTATTGAGTATTTACAGACGATGCTCAGTGGACCTGTTCCTTCACAAGCACAAAGCGTTCCCGCTCTTTCCCCCTTTCTAGAGGGAGAAGGCTCCTGGCTCTCTTTTTGGTTTCAAGATTAATTATAAAGTTTCAAATCAGGAAATTTACCCATGCATGTCAGCTCTCTTTCCTTTGCTCTTTGAAGGCTCTAGACTTACCTGTCTTGTTTGTTCTGCCATCCTCTGCCTGGAGAAAGCATTTCAGGACAAGAAATTGAGCCCAGAGTGGCACCACCCTAGGCATTATTTTTGCAGAAAGAAGA